GCTCTTTACGCTGCTTTGAAACTACGACATGTAGTACGCATGCGTATTCGAGATATGACCTACTTTGTCACTTTTATATATATATATATATATATATATATATATATATATATATATATATATATATATATATATATATATATATATATATATATATATATATACCGGGCGGGGCAAAAAAAGTACGACTGTTTGATTTACTATATAACGTAAAAAGTAAAAGAGCTATTACACTCAAATAAGTGACAGTATATTCCACGATGTTTAACTTAAATTTTGATATATGTCTTGTACCTTTTCATGCAATATTGACTGAGATAACTGTGTTTAAACTTAAACAAACATTTTTGGAACCGCCGATAATTAGCTGAAAAGGCCCTATTAAAACCAGTTGAACAATTTTACCATTTTCTTGCGACTATTGTTTCAATTAGTGGTTTGGTTTGACGAGATCAGTTGTTCTGGGTCCAAACTTTGTTGAAAGAAATCTCGACACGAGGGAGTAGCTCCAATTGATTGGGACAAGTCTATGTACGATTCACAATTTGAGAGAGCTTCGTGAAGCGATTGTTACAGCATGCCACAACTTGAAACAGCAAATGATCCAAAATTCTTTCGATTGTATGATTTCACAGGCAATACGTTGCATTCGAGCTGGGGGACATGCATTTACTGATAAATATAGACGATTGTTTTTAAGAACAAGCGCGAACGTACTGACAATAAAGTATAATGCGTCTCGACACAAGTTATTGCATGTTATATTAATATTTAATAATCTATTTTTAGCTAATTTCTTCAGTTTCGAAAATGTTTACACCTGTTTATATGCATGTATCTTTGTCTATATGGCATCGAAATGTGCATGACATACATCAATATTAGTTAAGTTGGATATCGCTGAATGCCAATAAACTTGTTTTAGTGTCATTGCTCTTTTAGTTTTGATTTTTCAGCAATTCAAACAATCGTACTTTTTTCCCCACCCGGTATATACAGGGTGTATCAAAATAAACGCAATTCATCTTTTGTGCTTAATAACTTTCGAAATACTATTTCTAGTTAAACGCTTTTAGGCTTACTTCAAAGCCTGTTCTTTTCTCTTTCAAACAAACTATTATCCTTGTCTCCAATGCTAGTAATAATTGCACAGGAAAAGATTTAGTAAAACCTATAATTTTTAATTGCTGTTTAATTATGCAAGTTTACTATGTTATTGTTTAGTCGGTTTAAATGTTAGAATTTTCTTCTTTAAACTTTAATGTTGTCGTCACAACATCTGGAAAACCACGTAAGAACAAATTAAAAGTATTTTAAAAGAGACCAGGTTGTTTGAAAATCCTAAACGAATGCTAAAAATCGTCAAAACATTCCGGTGTCTGAGCCAGAGTGTCATCGAATTGCGATGTAATGTAAACAGAAATTATAGCAAGTTGATGTCAGTCAGCTTAGATGGTCCAAGCCAAAATTATATCGCATTTGAAGTTTAAAACTGAGTTAAAAATAGTGGAAGAAAAGCCGTAATTATACTTATTGTTACAATCCATTTAATAAAATGCAACATTTTTTTGTTTTAATGAAAAAATCAGTTATTTCATGAGAACGATTTGTTATTCCATCTCAATTTTTTTAATCTCCAATCGCAATAACGTAAAGTATTATTACCCGCGAACCAATGAGTCAAATTTAAGAAACAACCCACTGTTAGAAAGCTGAATGGCTACGCTTTAAAATGAATGTAAACTTTAACGTTTTCGTCTATTATTTGTTTAGCAATTTACATTTCAGTCGAGGATTGCGCTTTTTTTGATACACCCTGTATAGGCAAGACTGACCGAACGCTTTTAGAACGGGTAAAGGAACATGCGTACAATGACAAGGAAAGTGCTGTGTACAAACACTTAGACTGCTGCTATGACAAAACATTTTTAACATCACAATCTAACACACAACTGACAGAACTTGTACTCTCAAACACTAAGATCATTGATTCTTCCAGAAACTGGAATTTATTACATTAAAAGACGTAAATCAAGTCTTAATAATGGACTAAAAGCTAGTAGAGAACTACAGTTATTTAATTCATTAACGTGCGCTGAATGAAAGAACTACGTGAACTGCTTCATCACGAATAAATGCTATTGATTGCTTACGCACTTTTGCGCACGCTAGCTTGTTTAAA